GAAACTGATTAGGCTTTTAGAATGCAATTTAATTCCACATGAATATTTTAACCTCTCATCTTCAAGACTGATTTATGAACATTATGTAGAGGTTGACATAATAACATAGTGTTTATAAATCAGTCATGCTGAAGATGACCCGAGGACAGGTTGAAAAATTCATGTTGAAATAAATTGTGTTCTAAAAGTCTACTTCGCTTCATGTGTGTGTGTGTGTGGGTGTGTGTGTGTGTGGGTGGGTGTGTGTGTGTTTTATTTTATCGTTGTATGAAATTGCTCTGTTAACAATAAATTGATTTTACATTTAAAAAAAAGTTTTTACAGCCAAAATGGCCACCATTTTGAAATTTTTTGTGATAACGTCATTATTCCGATTAAATTTTTTAACGAGATTGAAGAGTAACTATTAAGCCAAGTTCTTGTTACTTTTGATATACATAGTATATTTAAAAGTGACTAAAAGCATACATTTATTTCCCCTACCTCCATCTTAATTAATCCAGAAAAGGATATTTTATGTCAAAATTTCAAAGTGCTGTAAAAAAAAAATTGCCCAAGCTCTAAGAATGGGGATTTTTTTTTTCTGAGACACTATATGATATATTGATTCAGAAAAAAACAAAAATAAATTGTCCTTTACTTTTTTTTCCTCGCTAATTTCCTACTGCACCCAGGCTAGTGTTCAACGAGGTCGCGATTCTCAGCTGAATATAATCCGTAATAACGAAATAGTAATCCGTATTTACGGATTACTAATTCGTAATAACGAATTAGTTCATTCGTAATTACGGATTAATAATTCGTTATTACGAATTAGTAATCCGTAATAACGAATTAACTAATTCGTTATTACGGAGTAGTAATCCGTAATTACGAATTAGTACCGTAATTCGTTATTACGGATTAATGAACATATACTTTATTGGCACTAATGGGCTTTCGTACAAAGAATATATCTACATTCTGTGTGAATAACAAAAAAAAAATGAAAATTTGTTTAGTCTGTCAAAACTTAACTTGAAAATGGAAGACCGATTTTGTGTAGCGTTAACACACACACATTGCCATATTTCACTGTTCGACCAAATAATCTTATAGCGTGCTGGCAATATTTTCAGAGGCCATGTTACTTAAAGAATCATAATTCCATAACGGAGGGTCGTATTGACATATTTTTTAATTTAAAATGTTCGCAAAGTGCTGTATGAATACCAAAAAAATTAAAAATTTGTTTAGTCTGTCAAAACTTGAATAGCAACAAACTATACAAAATCGTTTTGACAGACTAAACAAATTTTTAATATTTTTTTTTATTCATACAGTACCTAGATATGTCCTTTGTGAACATTTTAAGGGAAAAAATTATTTTGATACGACCCTCCGTTAAGGATTTATGCATTTTTGAATATTAAACATGACCTCCGAAAGTATGGCCGAAACGAAACGCTATGTTATTTCTGTTGGTTACGCTTCGCTGCTCAGCAACGTTTGTTATTGATCGAACATGTCTACCGCAGCGTGAAGAAGCGCTTGTTAATATAGGAAAAGGAGGAATCAAGTCAATTCATTTGTTATTACTATTATCTTTTGACAGGATATGGTGGCCATCTGCAACCCCCACCATCAAGACAGTTGTTCTTGCCTCATCAGCTGCAGCAGCTCGAAGCTCAGATACAGGCTTACGGATACTTAGCCCGGAATCAGCCGATGCCCGACTCATTGAGATCAGCGGTTCAGGGTAAACACCCATTGCAAAGCCTTCAAAGACCATCCCCAGGTAGGCCTATACTTTAATTTGACTTCCTGTTGTTTTTGTGTATGTTAGGTTAGGTTTGTTGCTAGGTAGTAGTAGTAATAGTGGTATAAAATATATTGTTATCTTTGCAAATGCTGCATTCCAGGTTCATTTCATTTCATTTCTTTAGGCACGAGGGCCAAGGATATGCCAATAAGTGAACTTAATCACTGTCCTACGTGGCATATCCATTTAACATCAGGGGACTTAATGGACCAGTACACCGGGGTAACCCCCTACTCTTCTCGAATGATATATTGGGTTCTTTAAAGTGCACACAAGCCAAATGCGTACACTGGGCCTACGGTTTAAAGTCCTTATCCGAGAAGACTTGTTCCACCACCGGAACCATTGGCGAGTGAGCCGTTCGAACCAACGCCGATATTAGAGCTAAAGGTCACGGTGCCCCTGACTTAACCGCTCGGCCAAGCAACTCGCCTATTTTTAAACTCTGGAACCTTCAACATTGAACATACAAGATATAAATCATGAAAGTTTGCCCGACAGAGGGGCTAAAGGCCCTGACGGGGGGGGGGGGGCTAGTGGAGTCTCATTTGGCTGGGGGCTACAGCCCCCCCCTCTGGCGCCACCACTGATCTGTCACCATTATCGGCATCAACATTACAACTATCATCAATGAACCAATAACCACAACCATTAGAATCATCCACCGTCACCATCATCATCTTCATTATCATCTTCATCACCACCACTACTTTCATCGTCGTCACCAACATCATCGTCATCATTGTCATCGCAATCATCATCATCGTTAACAAAACCTCCATGAGGCGCTGTGTAGAGTCCAGAGTAATAGTAATAATAATAATACAGTCATTATTATTGTTATTATTGTTATTATTATTATTATTATTATTATTATTATTATTATTATTATTATTATTATTATTATTATCATCATCATTATCATCATTATGGGGTATTCGTATTTCACTCAATATTTTTTTTTCAAATTTTCAAAAACATCTTCATCATCACTACATCCACCATCACAATCATCATCCTAATTATAAACAACTGCACCACAATTATCATTATCAACATTAACAACACCATCACCATTATCATCATCCAC